GCAGAGCTACCTCTGTTATCCAGTTTGATGACATCCCAGCTATTGCGGCGCTGTGTCTGGCGCCCTGGTAGCCGGTAGGGTTCAACAGGGAACAATGGATATGGCTGGCACTTCTCTACAAAGTGAGTCTCTCCTCGGCCCTCACTCCAACAATGTCTCCCTGTAAGTCCCTGGTGCCCTCTGCGCACAGCCGAATCAGCACTGGTGCTCAGTGCGAGCAGGTCCGTCACCAGGAAAATCCGCTCACGGATGCGGCCCCTTTAAGAGGCGTCTGCCGCTGCTACAGCCTCCGTCTCAGCAGCTTGGGACCAGGCAGCCTGGTTCCTTGCGCCTTCCTACCTTCTGCCATTGCAGCGTGATTTCTTAGATTTCTCCCTAGCTGTGTGGCTTGTTCATCTAGATCCCACGCAATTTTCCTTGCTGTTTGCTCCTTGTCACAACTTCAATTTGGTTGCCAGGAGGATGAACAGAGCAGAGCCTCTATCGTCTATGCCATTTTTTTTCCCTCTTCAGTGGTGTCCTATTTTAAAATGTCAATTTGTATTTATTTGTTGCTGGTATATAAAAATGCAACTGATTTTAATATATCGTCCTTGTATCCAGTGACTTGTTATATTCACTTTGTGTACATTTTAAAAATTGAGATATAATTTACTTATGACATAATTCATCCTTTTAAAGTGTACAGTTTAATGAGTTTTGACAAACGTGTATATAGTCACTTAGCCATGACTCCAGTCAATATATAGAACATTTTCTTCACCCCCAAAAGTTCCTCTGCCTCTTTGTAGTAAATTATTTCCCCTTTACCCTAAGGCCCTGGGAAATACCAATCTCTTTTATGTCCATAAAGTTTTGCCTTTTCTAAAATGCCAGATAAATGGAGTTATGCAAATTATACAGTATGTAGTTCTTTGTATCTGTCTTCTTTCACTTAGCACAATGCTTTTGATATTTGTCCATGTCGTTGCATTTATCAGTAGTTCATTCATTTTTATTGCTGAGCAGTATTCTACATTATGGCTATACTATAATTTGTGTATCCATTCACATATTTATGGGTAACTGGACTGTCTCCAATTTTTGGCTATTATGGATAAAGCTACTATGAACATGGGCTCACAGATTTTCGTATAGCCATATGTTTTTATTTCTCTTGGATAAAATACCCAGGAGTAGA